TGTCTCGAAATTAGAAGTAACTCCATTTCAGTTCAACCTTGATGTTCAGCCACTTACCGTTCCTTGCTCCTCGCTTCGTCCTCCAGAGCCTCCTTACCCCCCAAATACCAGCCATCCTTGACGCCGTATTCCAAAGTACCTTATCCATGATTAGTGAAGATTTCTCTGAGTACCCTGACACCGACTGGCGTTCTTCAAATTGCTCCGGGCTATCAACCTGAAATGTTTCCCCGGTCTGTCTCGATGATGATGTCTTTGTACTCAGACATTGATCCCTTTTCTAGCCCTCCTGACGTTACCGCCGGCAGAGTTTAAGCTTATTATGGATAGTGCTGTGTGGGCCATTAAACACACGATGCGTGATATTTCGGAGATTGGTCTTGGACGTGAGTGTTGGCATCATTTGCGCTTTGGTAGAAGCCTGACTCGCTGTGTAGTCGCGAACGAGATAATAGACAACTTCGCAGTTAGCGAACCGAATATTTCGAACGCATTCTTCCAGCAGTATTTCCTGAGCTTGCTTCAAGATATCTTCTTCGTCCTCACCGACACTGACCACAAGAGCGGTAAGCCTAAGTATTTTCGCTGACAGTGAATCACTCATTCGCCGTTAGGTTTCAAACAGCAAAGTATCGTTCTTTGCGCGGATGTTCCAATTAGTAATGACCGGCCAACTCAATGCCCCCTGTTTGATCCTGCAACTGTCGGGAATTCATCAATGACCAATCAGGAGTTCTTGAAATGTACACGCAACCTTTTTGAAGACGGCCTTCCACACCTTGCAAAGTAAGTGGTAGACATCATTCAAGGCTGTCACTGGTCCTCATCACCCCAAAGCGCTCAAGTGCAAGCATGTGTGTTACAAAATGGCCGAATTCCACGGCGACCCCAACAAGTTCAAGTTAGCACTACGAGATTTCTTGGTGCAATTGAAGGAATTCTCGGGAGATAATGCAGATCTTTTCATTGACGAAAAGGAGGCTGAAGCAAACTCAAAGCTGAGGCTGAGCTTCAAGCCGCATCACGAATCCCTGGCATGCTTAAGCCTTCGCAGATCCGGCCAGAAGACGAAGATCTATGAGATGGACGATCAAGCACCTCCCTTCACCCCACACCCTGTCCCTTAGTTTCTTTGGTCTTGCAACGTCCAGAATGTTTTTTAACCATGCTCGTTTGATCCAATCCTGTTCGGTGATACGGTTTGCCTTAATTATATCTGAAGGCCATTGGCTTATTCTTGCCTTTACTAAGCAGCCTCTCCCTGATATCAATTCCAGTCTACTTGTAATTACTCTAAACGAATGACCACAAGATGTCCGACTCTGTCGCACCATCATTTGCCGGAGGTGTCATTGCAGATTATGAAGCTAAGATGAATAACGAATGTCATCCGATTTTATGAACATCATGAGCACACACGAACGACTCTTCGACCTGGGCTTTTCACAGAAGCTAACCGGGGAGGATTCAATGCGTAATTTATTCTGCGCACAAGCAAACAGGGACCGTGTGTGTGTTGTCCGGATATTTAACGTGCCGGTATCACTCGGGAGTGGTTACCCGGCCTACAGGCCCAGGTATCATACACATTTCTATACCAAGGGTTCTACAGCCGGTGGGGACTGTCGCAGCATTTCGGTTCCTCTGTACAGTGTACGCAATTTTCGCAAACGTAGACGTCTAGCTGGGGTCTTGGTCGAAATAGCATTTTAATGGTGAATTTGATCCTACCGGTTCAATTAATTTGGATGCCGGAATTGATTTCCAAATATGTCATATCTTCCTCCGTGTACACAAGCCACAACACATAGCCCATAAGAAGCGGAAGCCCCAACACTCTTACCTAGGCTTTATATTTACCTCTCCTTCGCCCGTATCTCTCAAAGTCAGCATTCCGGAGCAACCATGTCGGTCGCCATACCCCCTCGTCCACCAATCAAAAGCACTGAGGTCTTCAAGGTGGGTCTCCGAATGATCCAATTGCACCGGCCATGAGTGCTGACGAGACGTTCACAATACGTGTTCACGCCGACGGTGGAAAACAGAAAGATATTTTCGAGGGGAAAGTTTTGTTTTGCACTGGAGGTCCTTCTGGGATATGCAAGGCCATGACTAAGTCTATTGTGAGTGTTCATTCTCAGTGGGAGGCTGTGGCACCGACAATGACTTCATTTCATGCCGACACCTCTTCATATCGTTACATTCAGATGTCGCATGGCGCCGACGCCATTATCATCGGCCGAAAGTGAGTCGGTGGCAAGCGTGGAGATCCGGACGGACGGACAGACATTGCTCACCCCACTGTGTTGGATAGGGTCGATAAGGGCGAAGCTGCTGCCAAGGAACTTAGTAATGCGACAGGCCAGAGATGCGTTTTGCACAAGCAGATGTTCGTGAGCCTGAACAGCTGAAGGCAGCTGCCAAAAAGTGTATCGACACCTTTGGGAAAATCGACTTTGTGATATGTGGTACGCTTCTGTTCTTTATGCATTTTGGATGAACGTTTATTCTCGTTTCGTTTATCTTCCGGGGGCAGGGCCGCCGGGAACTTTCTGGCGCCGATCTCTGGTCTTTCCGAGAATGCATTCGCTACTGTCGTTAGGATTGACACGCTAGGGACGTTTAATACGATCAAAGCCACCCTTCCCCATGTCCGAAGAACCCGTGGTTCGGTTAGTATCTTGGTAGCCTTCATCACCATGTTCTCCTTGCTAATTGGCGAATTTGTCAGTATATTCATGTTAGCGCTACTCTTCATTACTATGGTACCCCTACCAAGGTATAGTCATTTGGAACGTATCTTGTGTACGCCCAACTGAGGGCGTCTCCGCCTTAGCCCACGTTTCAGCGGCGAAGGCTGGTGTCGATGCCTTGTCGAATTCCTCGCGTAGAGGAGGGTCCTCGTGGCGTCCGGTCAAATGTAATTGCTCCGGTAAGCTCTGATTTCATACATCGTGTTCTTTGTTGACCTTTGAAATGCCTCACTCATGCATGTAGGGCCCAATTCTGGGAACAGAGGGAATGGACCGTCTCACACCAGTGGGCAAGAAGGATGCTATCACTCGCTCTGTACCGCTTCAGCGCCAGGGTGGCTTAGATGATGTCCCGAATACAGCAGTGTTCTTATTCTCGGAAGCTGCCAATTGGGTGACTGGACAAATCATCGTAAGTATTGATTAACCCATCGCCCTGAACGTTATGGTGCTTATGCGTTTGGTGACCAGGCCGTGGATGGAGGTGCAATGCACACCAATAAGGGATCCCTTCCTTATCCAGACAGCGTTCTTGACCCCGAAGGGGCTACTAAATCTATTCGAGCGAAGATGTAAATAGCGACATGAAAGGTGGCGTGTGATTGATATCCTGCCTGCGCGAGAACGCTGTGTTGTGCATGTCCTGTAAGACCTCCATGCATCAGTTTTGTCACAGAACGTTCCGGTTAAAGCCTGCCGATGGAGCGACCCTCTGAGATCTCTGTGCGGGAAAATGAGGCAGCCTATCCCAACAAGATCGCGGTTGTACTGATCCGAGTTGCCTGAAATGGAGATCCGACTTGATCTGGGGCGTCCGGAAAATAAGCGAGACTGCCAACGTGTGATGGTGACGCGTGCCAAAGGAGACTCCACTCAATTTTCGCGGCTGAAGTGAGCCGATCATGATTTTCTGCCAGGGCGATAGCGCCGTCTGACCGGACAGCCTTCTTGGCCCTGAAGGGACTGCTAAGTCTATCCGAGCGAGGGTGTAAATTACAACACCAGTGGTGCGTGTGGCGCGTGTCAGAACAGTCTCCATTCAATTATCGAGTCCTTCACCGGCGTAGCGCCCACAACATATCTTAACGGTTTGTGTAAGCTAGCACGGGAAGCTGCAGAAACATTCCTAGCCGATGAGACGCGGCATAATGAAAGTCTAAGTTTCAACATCTTGGATTCTAAACCCACGCGTCGCCTTGTTACGATCTACATAATACTCGATTCGCAACGCGCCCAGATCAATCGAGGGTGTCAAGGATGGTCCTTTGTAGGGGGCGGGCGGAGTGTAGGCACGGTGTGGCGGTTTTTGCCTGCCGAAGTCCTTCGGATGATTTTCTTCCAAGCCGTTAACTCTGCTATTGATGGCGATTGAGTAACGAGGTCGACGTTTGCAGTGCTGGGATACGAACTGCGAGTGCGATAGCGCAAGTTTGCACCGTCTAGCGAGCCATTGCACTTGTATGTTGGAACTTCTGGAACTATTTCATGCTCAGTCCGGTTGGCGCTTCGAGGCCAGCGGTTATTGATACTTGGATTTGCAGAAGCCTTCCACAAAGTCTCAAGTCGACCACTTCCCGCACCCTCGTCACACATCTTCGCCCAGCACCTCGAAACGCTCAAATTTCGTGCCCTCCTGAGTCCGTCGCTTTTGCCGAATCCCTTCTTCGCGAGTCGGAAGGCTGCTTCTTCCCTCACTCTTCACCCTCAGTCTACACAACTTTTCTCACATTGGTCGACCACTTTGTAGCCTAGTATGACTGGTGATCGCCGCCTGACGCGGCAGAACCCGCACTCATTTCGCTCGATAAGACATGTATGTATTTGGATGAGTACAAACCGTTCACAGAAAAGCCACGATTTTGTGCACACACCGCATTCGTCCGCAATGGAGTCACCCATAATCCAACGTCTCTCGTCCATTATGACAAAGAGAGGATTAGAAAAGAGGAACGGAAGAATAAAAGCGCAATTTGAGGACCCTAAGTTGTGAAGCAGTTTGCAATAATAGAAGACCCCGTCGTTTTTTGCACTCAATTCGAGACCGAAAAATTTACAAGAGCCCCTACAGAGTAGTGGGAATCACCACAGAAGCCATTACAAATTGGTGGCACGACTCGGAACATGAGCTTCAAGTTACTAAGGCAGAGTTCAGGGAAGCAGAAAAAGTCCTCAAACAACCTTCTCACTCACTTTGAGTCAGCTTGTAGAGTTTCGTGAGGACGGGTAGGACCCCAAGGCCCAGGGAGGGGGAAGTGAATCTTGTGGCAGAGTGCTAGTCGCTGCACTGGAAGCTGGTCGATTGTACCTCTGATATGATGCCCCGCGATAAGACCAAAAGGCGTCTCACTATAAATCGCAGACAGGCTTGATTTGGTGAGAAGTGGAAGGAGAGCGTCGGACTATATGGAGCAGGCATGTGCACAATGTTAAGGAACGGGGCGTTGTACATTGCCTCGAGGAGATGATGCTGATTGTCGCCCCTCTCCCTCCAAGCCCAAAGAATATCGTAGGGAAACCGAAACTCAACGAGCCTGACCCATTTTCCTTCATACAAGAACAGATGGCGGCAACAAGAGCCCGGCTGTGGGTGTTATTGTGGACGTTATTGGAGTCATTCAGTCTCACAGAACGAGGCTGAATGTACTGAATGGCTTTGCAGAGACCTCGGGTGCTGTCCGAGGAGCGGATCGCTAAGGAGAGACAGAGATGCGTGATATGGGGAGTCGCCTGAAGTATTCTGTGGGCCGTTGCACCAAATCCGCCGTTGAAGAGCAACTTCCGAATATAATTTCCAAGATATGGCTGGTCACTCAAGGTACGCCCGAGGCAGCGGGCCTGCGTAACGGTAGACAGTATGATTGTGAAATAAATGGGCGAACGCGCTACGCAATTCCACCTCCTGCAAACAAGCAGGGCAGCTGTGCGTGTGGTAGAGATGGGTGGTTTCGAGTTGAATCTATGTGCGAATTCAAACTCATCGTCGTCCAGCTTGCAGACATCCTGCAACACTAACGCGAGTATTTCACTTGGAAAGGTCTTCATCGACTGAAGGGGTGCGTCTCTCAGCTAGGCTAATGTCCACTGAATGGGACGCAAAGGACCCTGGGTTCCGTTCAATGCATTTCAGAGGACCTGGTCATTTTTTCCATTCAATCAGGGACGTTGTGACGTTGTGAGTCACCCGCCGAAAGTGCGCCCTGATGTAACGGATCCGATTGAAGCGTGGACCAGAACGAAAGCTCTAGCACCCGCTCCCAACGTTATGATACATCGAGGATTCGATATTGGCAGAATTTTTACAGTGTGGAGTTCCCACACGCCCGAAATTCAAGCTAGTAAACATCAGCTGTGAAAGGTGTTAAAGTACAGAACTAGTTTCCGATACTGAAGATTCATCATCGTCATCATCAGTAAGTGCTGATCTGACCTTTCTTGGTCAGTTTTCCCGACACATCGTTTAGGACAGGGAAGAACGTTGTAATTCCCTTTTATGGCATGGACATCGATTTGTTGTGGGCTCTTCTTGCCAGCAGCCATTGCCTTGCATCACCGCAGCCAACACATTCGTACTTCTCTCTAGAGATTCAGATGTTAGAGGTAGAAAATCTCCTCTCCCGCATCTCAAAAGATGCACATACGTTGCGAGGACACTTTCAACCCAACAGCACAATGATGCCGGACGACTACCCCTTTTCCTTGTTCACTGTCTACAATCCTTCCGACCGTCATTCCCAGCGAGAGGCTGCTTTGCAGTTTTTGGGGCATCTGGACGCACATTACGAAATTGTCTTTGGATTCTTGAAAATCATTCAGGAAGTCGAGGCCACGCTTCGAATTCGACGCGCACGCCTGCGCACTTCTTTGCAACCTGTCGCAGCAATGCCTATCGAGGTTCTTCAGACGATCTTTCGGTTCGCAATTCGATCCACCAGGCGCCGTCCCTTGGAATATATCGAACCCCTAGCACTCAGTCAAGTGTGCCCCACTTGGCGCCGTGCTGCCCAATCATGTCCGTCGCTATGGACCATAATCCGGGATACTCACGGGAAGAGACTTGGACCTAGTAACCCCTACATTCTATACTCCAAGGATCTTCCCCTACATCTTGACACCCGGGGACCGTCGACAGTTAAAGATCCCACGTTGCTGCTGCGCAACACAGACGCCAAAAGAGTCATTTCCCATCATCATCGTATCCAACATAATGAAAATGATGAGCATCAAGTCGCATCACCTAGGATAGGGGACTGTGAGAATCTTCGGCAGCTTGAGCTGTGTGTAGACCCGTATTTCGACGGGGTCACGCCGCACGGGCTCCATAAACTGAGGGAGATCCGCTCTCTGGCTCTGAGTGGCATAGATATTGGATGCGTACCGGCTACCCTCCCGTACCTGTCAACTTTCAAGTTCTCACTCTCACTCGATATGACCCCCAGGAGGATGCTCCAACTTTATCAGGTTAGCCGGGGCGTTGAACATCTGCACCTCTCTGTAAAGGTCTCGATGCGGAGGGAACCCCCTACGGTGATAATATTTGAGAAGCTACACACGCTGGAACTTGGTCTTCGCAACTTAACGATCCTGGACCATCTCTTCACTGAGATACATGCTCCAAATCTAGTCGACTTGGCAATCGATTTTGCCTCGGGGTGTGAGAAAGTCGAAACGGACTGGTACATTCCAATTCCAGAACCTACGTACACCCCCGAAAGGGGTTTGCTCCGTCTCAGGACTTTCGTAAGTGCGCCATTCCCGGAATCACTGCTCATGAAGTTGAACCGATTTACATGTAGCTCATAGATGCGTCACAAATTAGAGGACTTCGATTTCGAACGAGGTCTGCATCCTGGTTAAGGATCATCTTGGAACTTCTAGTCTGCCTGCCATTGCACAGCTCACGTATCCCGGCCCCAAAACTCAGTCATCTTACCCTGATATTTGATCCACCCCTCGATTTACAACAGGACGAAGGTCCTGGCTTTGGTCCCCGAATACTTAAGCAAATCCTGAAAAAGCGAAAAGAGTTCGGATTTGGGATCGAAAAACTGTCTGTCTCCCGAAATCTGCTTCCAACCGTTAAATCCTGGCTTGAGCAACTTGTTGATAGATGGGAACATGTCGAGGACTTCCCGCTTCCAGAGGATGAGTATGCCACACCTTGTGATACATGCGCTTTTCATGATTAGATCTAGTTCGGTGCCTCTATTGGATTGGCGATAGGCAGTACATACAATCTGAGATTTTAATGCAGACTGCTGGCCAATGAGTCGTTCGCGGTTTTGACCTATCAAGGCTCATGGATCAAGCAACGTAACACTCAAGAACATGGCGGAAGACCTCAGGCAGCCCCCAGGTTGTTACCCACCAACACTGCGCCCGGACCCAACGGACCCGCGCCGAGGATTTTAACATCGGCAGAAAATGTCCCTGTCCTTACCCGCCAACAGTGCCTTGAATCTTCTGGAATTTTTACATACATGCATAGTCCCCAAATGGTCAAATTTCAAGTACGTTAGTAAGAGTCGGTTGTGAAGAGTGTTAGCTAACACGTCCATGCAAGTACTGCTGGTCCCGCCTTTTCTGCGCCGTTGTTGGTTAGTAGGGGTGTTGAGTTCGTTGCTGTGTCCGAGCCATCTGCTGATTCCGGCTCTTGCTGTGCTCTCCCCGTTGTGGGTGCACGTATGCGACGATGTTGCTGTAGTCAGGGGGTGTGAATTAGTCCTGATATCCTGATAGTTAAAATTTTAAGAGGTTCTCCGAGAAAGGATACACCGTAAAAACCAGGGGCAGGCGGATTGTGCTGAAGGCCGTCGTTCGGTTCGGTTCATCATAGCCACTAACGTCCCTCGAAAGTGCCTGTTGTTCGAAAAATACAGATACATTTCAGGAAAAGGTGTTGAAGCGTAGTACTAGAACTGGATGGGTAAGGGCCAGGGTCGCAGAGTCCCCAAGGAAAGTGAGGGCAACGAACACACAAGGTCACCACAAGGTCCTCGATTCGCAATGCAACAAAGTGGAGAGAAAGGGGTCAGAAAGAGGATAAGAGACCTTATTTATTTCACGCTGTGAACACACCCTGACATCATCAATCAAACAATTACACAATTCGACCCCTACAAACCGTATCATTACAGACAATCCTCGTGCAATGCCGGACTTGCTGATTGCCACTGGCTGACAAAGTGTCCGGTCAAGGCTAACTCGACAGAAGATGGGGCTGTGAGAGCTGGTTGACTAGCTTGTCTTGAAATGAGTTGCTGGATATGGTGGAAGAGGACAAGTGCGATAATGTTTGTCTCGCGCATTGGCAATATGGTTTTATAGCACATACCGCTCAAAGCACCGTCATCAATCGGTCAGTTCCAACTCTACCACCCGGCTTCGGACCCAATTCACATCATCCTCAAATATGCAGCGGGGTACGGTTAACCTCTGAAGCGGTCTTGACACCGCCTGATAGCCTTCTAAGTGAGCTTTAATTAGGACGTTAACATTGATTATGTCCTCCAGAGGTCCTCCAAGACGCCCCAAAAGAGAAATGGTGAGGTGCGTGAGGCTAGGGAGATTGTCATGCCCCTGGTGAAATGGATGGGGCCATAATCTTTTGAGGGCATAAGATACGGTTTTCATTCCGCTTTTCAAGGCAACAGCCTTGATCGTCGGTGTATTTGCTATCTAACCAGACACGCGGTGAGTGATTTGGTAAGGGGAAGTCACCGAGGTGTTGACTCACAAAGTCCCTCACCATGCGCAGTGGCTTCAAATTATGACAATCACCAGAGGTGACATCAATAGAATCCCAGTAGTCATTTTCCTTATTGTCTGTTAAACTCAGCGCAAAATATTGGAGCCGAGGCATCTCGTAAGAGGCAAGAAATCTTGCAGCAGTATGGTCTAGATGGCCAACAGAAAGTGTATGGAGAAATGTGATTGACCCCTGTCGAGTGATGGCCTCGTCCTTGTCCCAAAGGATGGATATGCGGTCCAGGGTCAATTCTTGAATATTTTGGCAGGCATTGATGAACTTAACAAGCTCTGGGCTACCGATGTCAGCTTTGGAGATAGCGAGAGTGACAAGGTTTGCTAGCTGAGTGGTGGACAATAGAATGAAAATGTTGTCAAGGGAGAGGTGACGGAGTGATGGAAGATGCGCCAACGCTTCCCTGTAAATATCGGCATCTTCCTCGTCACGGATCGCGAACAAAGCTAGGCGTTCAATAGATTCGCGGTTGAACACTCCCCTTTCTTCCCAGAAATCACTGGAATCACCAGAAACGATTGCGTCCCAATCATCTTCTCGATCTAGTGGCAAAGATAGCGCGGTTATCCGACCTTGGACTTCATTGCTTCCCAGCCCCCGCATCCTTGAAACCCTGAAATATTGCTTCCGAGGCTCATGAAGCTCTAAAGGGAGACCTTTAGAATAACGGGCGTATGGCGCGTAGGAATAATGATTACAAAGTTCCAGTCGCACCATAGTCCATAATCGGGGATACGATTGAGCCGCACGCCTCCATGTCGAGCAGACTTGGCTGAGGGTGATAGGAGAAGGAAGATGCTTCCCACCTACATATTCCTTTGGCTGAATGGCATGAAGGAAGATTCGTTGCAAAACTTCCATAGGAAGGGCAGCCACGGGTTCAAGGAAATTGTGGAGTATGGCGCGTTGTCGTCGTAGAGTACGTTCAATCCTGCTGATCTTTTGAGAAAATTCATGAACGAGTTCGTAATCTGCATCCATGCGTTCCAGGGCGTCCTCGATCATCCTTCGGGACGAATTGCGGGCTGCAGTATTGTATATGAGATAGATAGGTGCAGCTGTACCGATTTCGTAACCGAGAACATATCGCTGTAATATGTTGGCGTCATTGGACATGCGGTAAAACAGTTCGGTGAACAGTGGTCCTGGCATCTTCAAGTTGGGATTGTTTTGGCGCAATGCCTTGAAGTGTCCGGAGTTGGCCGATGTCGCTCGTTGCAGCTGGAGGATTTAAAAGCGAAAGTCTCCTGTTCGACCCCGTTAAGACGCGGGTCTACACACAGCTCAAGCTGTCAAAGACTCATTCTCATAATCCCCTGTCCAAAGTGATACGGCTTTTTCCTCATTTTTTTTGCAATATTGCATGGATGTGATTATGATGGAAAATGAAGTGACCGTGTCGTGCAGTAGCAATGTGTGATCTTCCACACACGGTCCCGGGTACTAAGTTGCAGGGGATGGTTCCTGGAGTATAGCCGGATGTAGGTCCAGGTCTCTGTTGGCATGGTCCATAATAATTGACATCATGCCGAGTTATCGCTCTCCTCAGCAACTTGTCTCATGGCGCTTACGCTTGTCGCCAGAAAATCGAGTCCTCAAGATGTCCACTTCTCCTGTTGAGAACATTAGGTGCGAATGATGTTCGTGCTGATAGGTTGGGGAAAAGGTTCCTCACTTGTACTGACGGCCATGATTCGGCAGAAGTGTGCCTCCAGCCATACCACTCGGGTCCAGATATGCGGTCGCAGTCATGCGATGGGAAAGAGCACTTCCGGACACGCTCCGACTGCCGGACCCCTGACCAGTCTCATGACGTTCCTTATCTCTTGCGTTACTGTTGTGAGGAACCAATATTGTAACGTCCGCAAATATGTCTGAGAGAAACACCTTGTGGTGCCGGACCAACAAATGACGTCTCCTCTGGGTAATAACCCATCCGAAATTTCGCATCTATCCATATGGGAAATTTGGGAATTACTGACTGCTTTCATGTTCAGTGAGCGCGGTGCATGTGTCTGCTGCTATATCCGCACCAACCATAACATGTCGTACATCATATTAGCAATTAATGACCGCAATAACTAACGGGGCGCCTGTCGAGATATGCTGTAGCCCTGAGTCCCGTCCTCCAAGTGTATCAGACGCATACGTGTTTCCCCTTCTGTCCGAAATGGGAAGGGTTGATACAGAGAGCCGAACTGTTGGCCCTATCGGCACCTATATCGATCGGTGCCAAAATTCACAAACGAAATAATTTACGGGACAGTTGAAGCGCAAATGGTGAGCAAGCGGGGATGATTGATAACGAAATTGTCGATGAACTGGAATAGGCAGTCGCAAGTCTAAATCGTACATGAACCCAATTCCTACCCGCTTTTCTATATGAGAATCGAGCTTCTCTTAAAGTCAAACCCTCCAATCAGGCATCTTCTTTTTTGAGTCGCGTCCTCGAGGTCAAGCCCGTGCACCCCCAAATTGAGTCCCGGATGCAAATAAGAGTAAAGTGAATCAGCTGATCATGATCGGGTCCTCGTCTCTTTCAGCATTACTGTGGCCGCCACCATGCCAGACACTTCCTCAGAGCTGGAAATATGGAAAACGTTTAGGAGCTGGGCCAAATCTAACGGTGCATTCATTCATCCATCACTTACATTCGTTCCCGGTACGTATATCTACACTAAGCACTTCGCGAGTCCATACTCACAACTGTGGTTTACATGATCGGTTTGCGATTAGGGACCCGGGGCACCTCTGTGATGACAACTGCTGAGATACCAACAAACACCACTGTACTATCATGCCCATTCGATCTTGCGATCACGTATGATCTTGGAATCGGCGTCTTCAAAGCATGTATATGGGAGGCTGCCAAGTCGCCATACAAGACACCAATAACACCCATCGCCAACGGCCAGCACGCGTCGTTATCAAGAAGAATCGACAGCCTAAGCGAGCGTCAGATAGTTTGCGCCTACATCGTTCTGCACTGGGTTATATTGACGGACAGAAGGTCAACCAATTCCAAGTTCGTGAGGATTGCTTTCTTTTTAAACATCCCCCAGCTCCCTATACGCACGCGGCGGTGCTGAAAGACCATCCCGTGATGTATAGTGAGCTAGAACGTTGGTCACGTACAGCGTCCCATTTCCGACATCAAGCTTATCTCGACACACTACCGCATCCCGACCAGTTACGGACGCCGTTACAGTTCACACCCCCAGAATTCGAGCTCCTCAAGGGGACAAATCTGTACGGCGCGACAGAAGATCGCCGCAAGGAATGGTCAACTGAATGGCGAGAAGTGCGCGATATTCTGGCAGATGCCGATAAAATATGGGCCGAAGGGTTTACGTGGTGAGTGAGGAATTGCAGCACCATCACATCCGATCGATGATCCCATCGTGCAACCCTTCAAACAGGGATCGATACTTGGTTGCTGCTACTTACTTGTCTTCAAGGGCTTTTCCTTCCTCACTTCTTTCACCAGCTCCGACCGCTCAGGCGACTTCGGAGGATTCGTATCCTGTCCTGCTTCCAGTTCTAGACTGTCTCAATCACACACGAGGACTTCCTGTGACATGGCAAGTCACGTCCTCGCCTCCAACTACCGCGAACGGCCAAAGCAACATCAACCGATCCCCGCTTCATATAGCCTTGTTACTTCGCTCCACTACGCCAGCAAGAAGCGAAGTATTTAATAACTACGGCCCAAAGCCAAATTCTGAACTCCTACTCGGTTACGGATTCGTTATCAAGTCGAATCCAGAAGACACCATCGTCCTCAAGCTCGGCGGAAGCGAGAAGAGACACGAGATCAGCCGGGATATAGATCACAGCGTGCAAGGCGGCCCAATAAGCGAACTATGGAAAGAAGTTGAGACAATGGTTTTGTTTAGTGGGGAGGACGATGCCTCGGTGACTTCACTTGAAGGCGGGTGGGAAGTCACCCTAGAAGTATGCGAGGCGCTCGAAGACATGCTCAGCCGGAAGATGGAAGCACTACCGGACGCGGAAGCGATCTCGAAGATCACAGAGCCATCCATACGACAGGACGTTCGCGATATGATCGTAGAATATGTCCAAGGTGAGTGTGTACCATGTTTTATCCCTCAGATAAGCACCTTGAAGGGAATGGTGTACCCTAGGCCAAAGGGATATACTCAAGTGTCTCTGGGACTACGTGGAAGAACGCAAGAGGGAAGCCATTGAGCTAGCACGCGCCTCTGGGTTAGAAGTGCAGGAGGTATTGGAGGAAGATTTGGAGGAAGACATGGGAAACACATCGTCCTGAAGTATCGATTTCTATGAGCGCCTCCCGTTTCAGTCTTGTATTGGTATGCCGTTGTTTGGGGTATTGTACATATTTTTTTTGTGGGTTCCGATCCGAACCCTTGCCACGATTACAGATTCGCTTACTTAATTATGAACGACAGCGACGGGCAGGGAAACCAGTAGAGTAGCACGGAATGCCCTATTAGTAGTACTAATTCGCCGCTGGTATTTCAGCGACGGGGGCTTTTGAAATTGAGCACTCTGGAACATAAAGAGGGTGGCATGTGCTACATGCGCACATGCTGTTGAGCAAGTCAGGGGGCGCAACAGGTAACCTTCAACAGAGCAGCACGAACTTAACCAAGGTGTGTCACTTAAACACGAGCGAGGCGGGCAACAGGCAACAGGGGTACCAGAATTGGTAGTAGAATCCGACACCTCTAACCCGAGCGCCAGACAAGCGAGCACATTCAGTCAGTCATACAGATCGGGCCATCGACTCCTGTCGACGGAAAGACGAGCTGGGTGAACTAGAAGGTAAGACGGACGGAGAGAGGGGGGCAAAAGAGCCAATCGAGTCATTGAACAACTCGGATACGATTCCGGTGCAAAACGCCTCTGAATCTGGGCCACCAAAAAAACGAGGGTTTTTCTTCTCGCACTGCCACTCATCACCTAACGCTTCCGATCGCGCATCGCTCACTTCACCTTCTTCAGTTTAGATAGTACCGCAGTCAGTAGCTAACGTCGAATTAGAGTACACATAAAATGGCCGGATCGGAACGACCTCTTCACGTCCTTATTGTCTGTCTGGGAAACATCTGTCGGAGTCCCATGGTACAAGGACTCTCCGATCTGGCACCGAGATGACACTACACTCATCGACACGACTCTTGATTGCTTTCTTCGCTAAGGGGCACGCGGTAATGGAGCATGAAGCAAAGAAGAAGGGTCTCAATCTCGTAGTTGACAGTGCTGTGAGTTGCATAGTTGTGCGTCTTGTGGGAATTTCTGGGTCCGACTCGCACGGAATTTAAGGGGACTGCAGCTTACCACGAAGGCGAAGAACCAGATGAGAGGTAGGCGGGATCTCTTTAGGTTGTTATTGCAACATCATCTAAGAGTTGATGGACTAGAACAGTCGCGACATGTAAGAAGGTGCACGGACAATCGTAATTTCCTTCCTTCAAATGGCTAACGACTCGTAACGTACCATTCCGACAGCATGGAGTTCCTATTGACCACCTTGCCCGAGCGGTCGTACAAAATGATTTCAAAACATTCGATTACATCCTGGCCTCTGATACTCAGGTTGGTCCAACCCCCGGAATGCTAAGCTAGGCTCCTGGACTTGTTGATACTTGTAATCGCCAACGCCCCCTTTATAGAACCTTGAAAACCTGCGACGGGTAGCGCCCAAAGGGAGCAAGGCAAAAAGTTGCACACTTTTGACCTTCCGATGAACGAATTAGCTGATGATCCCCCACTCTCCAGTTGCCCTATTCGGCTCCTTCGACGATAACAAACCAATACAAGACCCATATTATGGCGGGATGGTACGAGATATTTATGCCGAGTTTCACTTCCCTGTGCTGTCATGGGCTGACCATATCGCTAGAGGGGGTTCGAGAAAACATATGAACAATGCGTTCAATACTCGCACGCTTTCTTTGACTACGTTTCTGCCAATGGATCACCGACTGCTTCGCTCTAAACGTAGAACGAGACTTTCCGTCCTAATCACAGGCTACTGTGTCGCGGTATATACAAATCCATTTTTGGCATTGAGCTCGAGCAAAAGAAACATGCAAATTGAGTGTAGCAGGCATCATTACGAGTCCCCTTACCCGTGAAGAGCTCAACAGCCAAACGATGAGCGCCGGCTGCCGGAGGCCAAGTATGAAATCCCGCATCCGCGTCTTGCTTGCATCACGCGCCAGCAAGATCACTACAGGAACAACACCGCGGACCATGGGATCTAGGTCATTCCAGCTGAGACCAACAGGCCAGATTATAACAGTACAACAGCAGGCTCTCGGTTGCACGGCGGATTGTGTTGAATTCACGTTCACGCATTGCTCGGTGTGTGAAACTGTATGGGTTCACATAATAAACGGAATGCGCCATGGAAGCACCTAGTGCGTGGGTTAATCGTGAAATAAAGTTAAAACGTGGAAATTATCTCAAGAATAGCACACCTTTTGAGTAGATTCAAGAGTCCCAACACATGATGTTGCTGCGCACCCTGGGTGCTTGGACTTGGATAATGAAGAACCCACCGTCGCGCATGTCAATAGCAAGGGTTCGTGGATCATGCAAGGACGTCCGGTGTGTGGAAAGGAACCCATCCCCCGCCGTTGAGTTAATTCATCATACCTGGTCCGAACGCTCCAACGTACCGCATCCGAACTATTTCTTCTATTACTAATCGCAGTTATCGAATACTTAGACGGGAGCCTGATCCGGGCCGGGTCCGACGCAGAGAACGGATTTCCTTTCTGGACGTTCACACTCGAACCGTCACAGCGATAACGTCAACAAAAGTGACACATTTTACGTAATTCCGCTGTCAGTGGATCTTTTGACGCTTACGGTTGCTCAGAGCACGCGCATAGTTTGCCATTCGTCGCTCTCGCAAGGCAAGCTGAGGGCTTCCCAACCATTTCTCAAAGAAGCAGCGACACCAAGAGACGGAGCGGCGACCGCCGAAGTTCGGCAATCCGAAACCCTAACAGGATAATAGTCGCTTTGATCAGGAGCAGTGTTTCAACCCGGCGTTTTACAGGCTCTAGTGTTATTCTCTTGGCGTCGGCCAGGTGGGGCCGTGCTGGAATATGCTAAGTGTATCGCATCTGTGAGGCATCGCCTGGTCCAGGCTTGCTGACACACAGCCAAGACTCAAATACCAGTGATTCTGAGCGATCTCAGGCGGTGGGTGAACTGGGACCATCAATATATGCAAACGAAGGACCCAAATGAGAATCAGACACAACCCTCATTTCCCGCCCGGCTGAGCAATGGGATCTAAAGATCATACAAATACCATCCTTTTAAAACTTCACAGCGCTTCGGGATGACGTTGACACCCCGAGCGGAGACATAGATTGTCAAATTAACAAGATTATACATCAAAAAATGCGTCCGTGCTGCTCTCCTGTACATTAGAATCAAGGACATGTGGAACGTAAGATGTGGCCAAAATTTAGTCAATGTGTGGGCCCAAATGAGGTAGTTCAAGATCGGTATCCTCATCATCATCCCGTTTACCACCAGCCGTAGCAAGCGCCTTCTTCTTGAACGCACCGAAGGTGTGAGCTCCCTTCGTGGGGGGGTTGATCGCGAACACCATGCCTTTGCTGCAATGGCCGGTCTGGCGGCAGTAGAACCACAACGGGTCTTTCGTCAAGACACGGACCGAGACGATCTTCTCCACGGGATGGATGGGGTCTACGGGCTGGAAGCCTGAGTCAAACCCAATGTTACGTCCATGCGAATCCCTGAGTTTCGAACATGGGGAGTCGAACGAGGATTCGGTCACTACGTGGCCAAACGAAACTCTTCAGGCGAAATCCAGGTTGGGGGAAACGGCGCAAACCGTACCTGTATGGTTCTTGGGATGGAAAATGAATTTCACCACATCCCCTTTGTTCGTGAACTGCCGTGGGTGAGGGACGTCAGGAAAAGTAAAACATGCCAGCTGCCGTAGCAAAGCTATGATTTGACACGCACGATAAAGGGGGGGTCGTACACAAGTTGACCGTTAGGCCCGACATTGACCTAAAGAATGAGATAGTCAGCAATGTACAGATTACTACTTCATGACTCTTCGCGTACCAAGTGTGTCTTCGGTACCACAGCCGCGAATGCCGAACTGAAAACAGCCAGCCCAGTGTATGCATAGAGAAAGAGCTTCATTGTGCTTCTGGATGAGTGTGAGTGTGCGAGGTGAGTATGGGTATGGATCCAGGGAGCTCCAAAGAAGCCCACCATTTATAGGCTACCCATATCCTGCACGTGTCATTGCAGGAATGATCGACAACGCAGTGCACATAAGGGACCGGGCATGCCGACTACCAGTCGCAAGCAAATGGGCAGTGTCAAACCCCGAGATGAGGGCGGGTGCACAGGCATGCAACTGTCAGTCACAAACGGAAGAGTGTTGCCAGGCAGCCAAGATGCCCTGCCTCGTGTCCGTGTCAATCTCGGTACCCTGACCGCTGGGTCTCAAATGGTCCCGAGGCGACGGGCACGACGGGAGGCACATCTGACACCTGAGTAAATTCCCCCATTCAGAATAATATCGACAGCCTCTGTTATCGTGCAGTGACGGTTATTACGCAATCTCTCGGTGTTCCTGCCACGGTAGCAGTCAAAGCTTGTTTCGCGTTGAGCCAGGTCAGTGTTAAGTTAGATGACTGAAGCTCTCCCGTGACATCTGGCCCAGCCCCCAATTCGAGAAGTCCAGTGACTCAGCACCGCACCTAACCTGATGCCATCAGACACGGAGATATCTCATTCACGATCGTTCAGATGACCGTCGGTATTCCCAGGGACCGGCTGGATTGTAATACTAACTTGGGAAAGTTTCTGCAAGTTAATCAGTACCGGGGTTCGATGACGCGGATCGAGGCACTGAGCTACGGACTCAACATTTTCTCACGACTGACTCTCCCCCTCTCCTCATCCCACAAACGACTTTGCGTTCGGAATCTCTCCCATCTGCGAATCTTTGCTGCTACTATCATCCCTACTTTGAAAGCTTCGTCCTTTCGCATGTTTATCCCTCACTTATCGTCACGCCCTTAGCCGCTGCTCAGCAGGTTATAGACTTCATCACGGAGGTTTCTGACCAGGTTTTTTTTTTTTGTCTCTATAACTTAAGAACTCCGTCTTTAGGGCTCACCGTGTTCTAGCTCCAGTGCCTCAGCGCTCCTGCGTCCCTAACCTCGCCCATGTCCAGTGATGCTATGTTTCTCTCCCACTTCTCCGAGACCACAGCCGTCGAGCCTGACCTAGTCTCGCTCTTTGAGCGTATCCACTTCTACACTGGCATCTCGGACGACCCTCCTCCCCTCCTCCACCGTTCCGATCTCCTGCAGCGTCCCTTCGTCATCCCTCGAGACAGGTTCTCCGCCATCCCCGAGAAGACCGCTCACGGAGTCGTCCACCCGGTCCTCAAGAACAAGTTTTGGAAGGAGACCGTTGCTCCTGAGATCATCGCCCTGCTCAAGGATAAGACCCGTAGTGTTCACGTCTCTACGATGCTGCCTGTCCGCTTCTCCACCCCCGATGAGAACGGCAAGGATGTCCTCGATAAACACATCGTCCTGTGGATCTCTGTTCATCCTAACACCACGAAGGAGACCTCCTGCCGCGACGCCAACGCCCCCGTCCTCGCCATTCTCGCTAAGCACGGCATCCAGGACGCAGCCGTTCACTGGATTGAAGGTGCTGTCGAGTCCCTGGCCGGTCCCCCTCCCATGATGCGCGTCGTCAGGGACACGGACCCGACCCACTGGATCCGCCGAGCTCTGACAGCCGTCTTGGGCGTCCCCCTCGCTGCGGAGGAGTTGGCGGACAAGGATGTGCAGGGCTCCCTCGGCGTATACTTCCACGAGGGCAAGGACCGGCATGGTAACAAGAGCACGAGGGTTATGGCGCTTACGAACAAGCCGTTACCTCCAAGGACACCACGGCCGACTACGAGTCAGTGGCCGCCCTGGTGCACCTCGTCAGTACACGCGTAACTGCGGTCGTCGTCGTTTCGAGCAGGTGGTCAACGAGACGCGCGCGCCCATTGCTACGAAGCTCGGTGACGCCAAACTCTTCGCCGAGCAGCTTGCGGCACTGTCGGCGAAACCGGCATCCGACGAGGAGGAGGCGGCGGCGGAAGACAAGTTGGACTTGGAGAGGAAGGAGGAGGACTTGAAGAGGGCGAAGGTGGACGTTGATATCCTGGTTGACTTCCTCAAGCTCCTCAACTCTAATGTCTACCAGCGAATCGTCGGGTGGCTCGATTGGGCACCCCAAATCGCTAACGATCTCGACAACCGCCGCTATACTCGAGACATAGGCGTCATCGCGCTTGAGGACAAGTTCCTGAAGGGCTTCAAAGGCAACTATGTCTATCTCGGTGTGTTCTGCTTGTATTTCTCTTCTTTTTCTATTTTCGTCTAATGGAAACATGAATCTTTAGCTGGCAAGTTCACCCGCGACGAGATTGTTTCGTTCTTCTACCCCAATGCCACTAACCCACCATCCTTCGAGTACCCAAAAGATCACTTCTTCAGGATTTCCGATTGTGTCGACGCCGCAGGCCTGGCGAACCCCTACCTTGCGACGAGCAAGGCAACCCGTGCTTCATCGTGGCCAAGAATGGGCAGACGACTGATCTCACCTTTGGTCGCTTCTCCGGGTTGGAAGCTTACACGTGTGACGAGTTCGAGCACGATTCGTGGGAGGTCGCTGTCCTCAACTTTAACAGAGAGCACGGCAACTTTTCTGACCATGGCGACTCTGGCGCATGCATCTTCGACGCCAAAGGCAAGATGGTCGCGATCTTGCATTCCGGCATGCCCAGGGGAACGTCCAGCCACGTCACGTTTGGCACTCCTGCTCACTACGTCGTCGATCTCGTCAGGGAACGCTACCCCCATGCCGATTTTGACCGCCTCAAGTTCGCCGAAACCGCAGCTTGAAGCCCCAAATCTTTTTCTGTCGGTTTTCGCCTCCATCATCACTGTCTTTTCTCCTCGACTCTTTCTATCTCATTGGTCGTTGGCTCCCAACGCGTGTTTTCCACAGTCGATTCGCTGCGAACGTTTGTCCCTTTTCCTTGTTCTTTTTCGTACAGGTAGCTGACAAACTTTGACGTCTAGATCTGCGCACGCTTCGGTTTGTTCCCTCGACTTTGTCTTGACCCGTCCTTGGCTCGGTAATGTAATTTATCGGTTGGTTGTCGACGATGCTGGATGTCTTGACTCGTGAATCCCTGACTCGGTACGTTCATCTCCTCTACCTAATATTCTCCCCGCCGTTTTCATATCTAGACACTGGAGGATGGACTTTGCGCTTCAGGTATGTCTTGTTTCTCGTCATGTCTCTCGATTCCTGTGGCTAATGACTTAGGCCTTGGGCTCTTGGATACATGTCGTCAGTCGCTCTAGCTTCTCATTGTGAACTCGCAGCCTCCGTCTGCTATGCATGCCTTTTGTTGTCTCGTATATCGCTTCCATCCCCTTTCCCTCGTTTTTGCCCTTCCCCCCCGGCTTTTTTTTCAAATCGTATAAAACCCATATCCTTGTCTCTACGTTCTACTGTGTAGTACACGGTACAATGGACCTTAATACGTTGTTGTCCTTTGTTTAAAGCTGCGAGTGATAAGTTTCGTGAACTTTTGATGACGAGGTAAGTAACGGAGGAGTGAAACAGCACTCCGGTATCGTTAACTTGGTAGATGCACTTTGCGTCGTTCTTCGTTAGTGCCCATTAAGTTTCTTCGATTGGACCATGCGACAAACTCATGGCTGGTGAACGTTCTAGAAGTAAATGTTCGCAGTTACTCCAAGTCGAGCTGGAGGCTATCCTGTGAGTTCTATCGCTTAGTCTAACAGTCAGTCAAGTCTGACGAAGTAGTTGGCAAATGGCATGCAGAGGTAGGAGTTCAACAAACGACAAGCTATTGACTTTAAATGCAGACAAACAAACGAACAATCTATAATTACAGCAAGGTGCAAAAAAATCGACGCGCCCAATTTGGATGAATGTCCGTGCAGGTCATGTGATAGTCATGTGATTATCCACAAATGGCAGAAAATAAATGATGATCGACTTGCAGTTTCCTAAATAGGATTGATCACATGACCTGATCGACCATTCATCCAAATCTGTTGCGCCGTTTGTTTTGCACCTTGCTGTAATGTATAACTTAAATTTGAACTGATATCAAACCTCCGCAGGGTTTGTCTAAGTTGGCCGTCCTTGCTTATAATACCATCGATGCCTTCCTAGCTCAACTTGAGGACTGACGCCCAGCAAGAGATGCATGCACGACGCTGTTTAATTCGCTGAACCTTTGTCTTTCGCTTTGTAACTTTCTGAACTGGAGCATCGCTTCTCTCCACGTACTGCCTCAGTGGTCCCTTCCCTTAGAACATCAATCTTCATGCCTCTGAACAGTTATACCATCTTCCTTCTCGGCCCGAAGTGCATCGCCTGTGCCTTCTCGTTCTGTACAACAGTATCGGAACCGAGAGCCAACACCTCGGTCGGCGATTGGTACAAATTCAGCGTTCTCTGAGGGCACACGGTCCCATTCTCATTTGACGAATCCTAAGTAGTCTCACATCCCATGAGGAGACTGTACGAACCTGGGATGTGGTCGTGCGTGGGCTTAGGATCCTCCGAGGACACTGTTAACTTAGTCTCACTCTCACCTGGTTAGCCTCAGCATTTGAAGACGAGATAGTGGCCATCTGAAATGTAGTGTCCATGGAAGCAACTTCTATCAGTAACAAATCCGTCCTGTCCAACCTCTATGTGGATCCATTCTCCGATGGCCATGACTGCTTATTCGTCGAAGCTAACCATTGCCAAACCTGTACCGTCCAATCACAAGATGCTGGGAATACATCAGATGAGAATGAGACTAACTTAACCGACGCTCCTTCGAAGACTTTGAGTCCTTCCCCAGGGTCCGATTCCAGATTCTCGCTGTCTTGTCATCGGATGCTGAGGCTACCCTGGATCCATCGGATGAGGGTAAGGCTGAGGTGACGCTCATCTTGTGCTTTCAGAGGGCCCTGAGTTCTCTGGTCACTGCATTCAAGTTCTACTGTGAATATCAGCGGCGCCACTATTACGCATAGTTGTTCATGGGAGGGTGTTCGTGAAAAGGTGAACACTGTGACGTGGTATATTTCTCGAGGGAATGACCGGGTGGTGCCAATGGGATACCCGTGGGAGGTAAGCACTTGACAGTCGTATGCGGTGCAAAGCGACAGCGACACTGTTTTCGTCCTGACCATATTGCTCGGGGTGTGGTATCACCGGCAAACGACCAAGATGTTTGGCTACATCTTACTGTGATCTTAGGGTTCGATCACAAAGTCAGTGCTCCACCGGCACGTCAAGCTTACGCGCCAGAAGAGAACAAGGCCAAAAGTAATTCCACACCCATATCTCCCCCGGTTGAACGTAATACCCGACGAAAGGCAATCGCTATTCGCAGCCTCGACATTTGGATAATCAAGTATACCAGTACACATAGTCGTGGCGAGGTACGAATTATTTTGAATTTCGGTCACCCTTGTCCGCCTAAGTAAATCGGTGACACAATTAATTGGAAATGGTGTTTTGTGTTCTCCCTTTCAGGATTCTAGCAGATATATGATCAATGTCAGTACTAGAGTGCGTAAACTTGCGCGGCATGCGTACTTCAACTATTGGACACTCTCAGTGAACACCTACAGGGGCACCAGGAAACCTCCGAGCCCGATTGAGTCGGTTGAGATCCAATGTGTTTAATGGTATCCCCGTTTCTATAACCTTTTGGCCCGAACCCAGCCAAACCATCCTTCGACTCAAATATCGTTCCACGGCATGATTTCAGATGTCTGCTTGCATGCTACCTGACAGCCCCGCAACCCTTCGTCTTCACAGACACACTCTGTGTACACACTCCCTTCGCGAATCACGACATGTTTTGATGTTTACTCTAACAACACACAAAACGGAGTGGGTGATGCTTGCCGCTGTATCATCGGTCCCATCATACCTGCATTAACGTTCTGCTGGGAAGAGATTGGTTTGAGAAGTGATTGTAGCGTATGGCTATGAACTGAATGGCCAATGCGGAATCCGACATCGACATCCTGCGACGTATTCGTTCCTAGAGTACTGTTTGAAGTTGGCTAATCGACTGACGCCGCACGCACATTGTTGAGAGTCCATGATCCTTGCGCGCGTACCCAATCCATACTAGTCAGTGGCTCCAAGGCACTCAGGGAGTGCCTTACTCTGTAACATTTGTGATATGTACCGATTCAACCTCTATGCAAACGTTTTTAAAGTCCGAAGTCTAGTACACCCAATACAGTCTAATCTCGATCCCAACACCCCCCTACCCAACACCTCAATGGACGAACCCATACTTCTTCTTTGCCCCACGCTCCACAAACCCTCTAAAGGCCCACCAATACACAAGATGAGCATATCGATAGGGCCAAGAAGGCAACCAAACGATGTTCGTAATTGTTCCCTTCCTCTTCCAATCAATCACATCTATACAGGCTCTCGCGACATCTTCCCGTCTCAACTTTTTACCTTCCCTTCTCAATTGGGTCGACACACCCGTCTCGTTTCCTCTCCCTTCAGGCGTCCTTACTGTTTCTTCTGGACCTTCAAGCTCTCGAGGACTCGTCGTCCCCATCGACGTCGACATTGACGTTGAAGACTCAGGCGCAGGATTGAGATCCAGGTCTACTGCCTTTTTACGAAAGTCATCACCTTCGATGCTCCCGGGTAAGATGATCGAGAAATCGAGTTTTGAACTCCATTCTATGGATAAAGATTGGAAAAAGACGAGTGAGGCCGATTTGGTGGATGCGTAGATGGATCGGGTGGGTGCTGGTATGGCGCCTGCGATGGAGGAAAGGAGGAGGATCGAAGGGGAAGGGGAAGGGGATCCGGACAGGGTTGGTTTCCGTAGGAGGAGGGGGATCTATCAGGGAGGAGTGGTCAAGTAATGTTTGTTATAAGGAGAAAGTCTCAGTACGCACGAGAGCAACAGCCGAAAGAACAGGCCCAAGAAAATTCCCTTTTAACGAACGCTCAATCACGTCATTTACCTTCTGAACCCCATCGCTTGTATCATACGTCCCACTGCGCAACAAAAATATTAACTAGTTGGGCTAATCGTGAATCAAAGCCAGTCCCGTACCTCTCGTCATGAGTCGAGTGTCGATATCCAGCAATGTCCATAACTGGCCGCACGCTTGAAACGCCTGCACATATAATCAACGTATCAAACCATCCCCATGCTTTGATAGATTCCAACAATTTAAAGGACATGATCACGAAGATGAAATAGTAAATATTGCAATACAGGTCGAAAGTCCCATTCACACTTACCTTTCTCGATCTGGCGGGTCAGACTTGACACGTCCTCAATGATCGAACAATCCGCAGCAATCGCCAACACCGGAGATTTCGTCAGCTGAAATACCCAAAGCAGACATATCATTCAACGGGTCTCAGCCAGCGCCAAACGATGCGCAATCCAATCATTGCGGGGTGTGGGGTTCACGACTTGACCCACCAGTTCACACTCCCTCTTCACAGCTCCCAATTCTTCCTTTCTTCTCCCAACAATGGCAATTCCACCGGCTCCTCGGCGGGAATACCGAAGGGCGATCTCTCTCCCCACACCTGATGAAGCGCCGATGACGAGAACGCGTTCTGTCGCTGGTGGGACGTTCCTCCATCTCGGTGGTTTGGAATTTCTCTTTGATTTGCGAATAGCGTGAAGAAGAACTGAAATTAACAGAGCCACAGGGTAGAACCAATATGAAGTCATAGCGAAAACGTTCCCGTGCGGTTTGCGCAAATCGAAATGACCGCTTTTGGTGCCACAACCGTGAGAATTTCCGCTTCATGTTCAAATCATTCTTTCAGTGTCGGACCTCGTGCGGGTACATGCATGCGGGATACTGCGCTGAGATGCATCGCTTATCAAGGGAAAAAAAAGCGTAACTGCAACTTCTTGACGATGTTCTTCGCCTAGACAGGGTCAAACGGTGAGTGCAGTCTTCAAAGTGAAATGGAACATTGGGCTGCATGCACGTACCTCGCAGGCTAGGCGGTTTCCTTACCAGTATTATCATTCTTGATGACGTACCTGGGGGTCGTTGCTTGAGGCGCTCACTTCATTACCGGTGGGACCAACATTCTAAAATAAAGATAAGTGCGAATGGAGTGATAGTGTATTTTAACCATGGTCTCGGTCACGACATCGACAATCTTGCCGGTGGTGGTAGAGTTCTCGACGTTTCCGCCTCTCTACGGCATCCATATGAGCCCACAGTCGCGTTAAGGAGGCGTATGTGTGCGTGCTGGCCGTTAAGACTTACAACAGCCTGGTATTCGACCTTGTTGCCAACTTGGCACTTGGCCCCAGTTTAAATAATTCCATTTGGTCTATCGTTTGAAAGGAGCCCCCCTGTATCGATCTATCTCCGTGTTCCATAGTGGGAAACTGCCCTGTCTCGGGCGCAGCTACATGTTGATCGCCAACTTACAATGTGCTGGGTGATGATGTTCCACCCCATGCCGACACCCTAAGCACAATGCAAAATCCCAACTCAGGTGTGGACGTTCCGGAGTATGCCTTCCGAGTCGTCTGCCCGAAACCGTGACGCTGTTGTCAGCATTGCCTGTCGAGGAGCGAAATTGAACAAAGCTAGAGAGAGGGTTTCGTGAGGCTAAATCCACGGGATTCTTGGTAATTCATTACGCAGCTTAGCCGATGTCGGGACCTGAGCTTATATAATTAAGCTTTCACCTCGATTCCTTCGGCCTCCAAGTCCAAAGAGGGTCATCACATCAGACACCAGAGACGAGATATTTTATCATGGGTATATGTGTTAGAACAGCAGTCCAACGTACGCCGCAGCCGCGACATTACCGTTGTAGTGGGGCTGACTGGTTTAATCTTTTCACGCTTAATTGTGATATGACACTGTTGTCGAGTTTCTTGCGTGTAGTGCGCGCATGGCACTTTGTTTCTCGTTTGCCTCATGCTAGACATACTTAAGGAGAGCTCGCTAGTAAAAGAGACAGCGCATCGATATATCGTGCTCAGTGGATCACTGGCTATCTTCAACAGCATGGGGCTCTGGGAGAGTTCGGTGTACCCACAAGGCTAAGAGTGCAACATTTCCCGTGCTTCCGACTCACATCATTAGACATGGACCAAGGCAGCATCCCTCCCATATTGAGTCATTTGCCAATGACTGATCAGGCAATGCCCGTGATTGAATATCCAGTGTTCAATTTTCGTTGAGTTTGGTCTAACTATATATAGTTTGTGAGGCAAGTTTGACTCTGAATTGCGAAAACAATTTCTGAGTTGGCGTTTACTTAGTAGACTTCATCCACGTACTGTCCATCCTGCCAGTGGTTGCTGTGAAATGCCTACAACGGCACTTTCTGCCCTCACGGCGGGTGATCTTGTCAGTCTTTCTTAGTCTGCCGCTGTATTTGAAAGCTGAAATCTGGCATCATCAGACGAAGAGTTCTCGACAGGCAATTGCTAAGCATATTCTTCTGCTGCTAAAGGGCCCTTTCTGTGACATAGATGGGATCGCAGACCCCGTGTTTCTGCAAAAGCTCATTGAGACTCGCTTCGGTGAAGTGTAAGGTGTTCGGACCGAACCAGCTTCTCTCACCGTTGATCTTCTCTCCCGCTAGATTAAATGTTGAAATATTCTCAGCAAGAAGGAGAACTGGCATTTTCATCACATTCCCCACTCCCGCTTCTCGAAATGAATTCGTAGAATTCGCCATGTCCATAAAGGATCCAAAGGATCCTCTATATCCCATTCAGGGCGCGACAAAGGACGAAAAAGCATATGCACCCAGTTTTCTACCCTTGTATCATATCCCTCTATCTCTCGAGAAAATTCTAGCCTCCTATGGTTTCCTACAGTTCGGTTCGAGTGGGCAGTCTCCCTTTGCCTTCTGGTCGTACTAATTCTTTCTGTCATACCAGGACCCTCGAAAAGCTCAGCATCTTCTGCAGCTCAATACAGGGCTCCCAAACATTGGTCCACAATTAACGATAAATCGGTCAATTCACCGACATCCACCTCTGCGAAGTTAACTATTGGTACACGGTCATTGGTAGAGATGTCAACCGTCACGGCTTACCATCATGAACCGCATCCTGCCCAAGCCGGAATATCTTCTGCTGCGCCAGAGGACAGTGCCTCCACCTCCGCCGCAGTCCAGGTGAAAGCAGCTGCTTCCCATGCATCTGTTCGAACGGGTATGGTCGCACGATTCACAGAGGATGTTTGTATCCAAACAGAGCCTGAGCCGGTCAAGAAGAATGTTGCCGAGCTAATCGAAGAACTCCGCCAAGTTAAGCAGAAGGTCGAAGCTTTGACAGCGCAATTCTCCACTGTGCCAGAGCGGCTCATCGCTGCTGGTGTTCGGCAGGAGTCTCTCGGCAAGCGCAAACGCCAAGAGTCGGATGATGGCGAGACGGTCGTTTAATCAATCTTTACTACTTGCAATTGTCTCCAATATTGACGGCTTTTGTGTATATATTCGTGACATATTCGTTTACTTTTTGCAGCATCCTGGACATCAACAGAGTGTTGGGGTGCAATTCTATAATCAAGCGCGTATACCGTTCCATCCACCACATTACTGTAATAACTTTTTCCGACTATCAGTGAATCGATCGGATCCGCCATCATCTCACCTCCAGCAATTTCGCAAGCCCGGTCGAAATGAATCACTTTATTCAACCCTCTACCTTCCCTCGGAGCTGCGGGGTTGTCAACTGCTGAAGCGGTCAGTGGAATACCGAAGTACGTATAGAAGGAAGTCCCCACGCAAGGATACATGTGCTGGGATATGTCCTTCGTTGAATTTGGGTCTCACTGAAGGATCGTCTCGTCTCGATAGAAGTGAGTTTGGGCCAGTCAAAATTTGGTTGTTTTCTATTTAGGGGACACTATCCATTCTGTCTGCATGAAATGACTACAACGACACTTTCCAACATCACGCCAGATGACCTTGTGAGTCTTTGTAAAATTCTTGCTTTCCTGCTACATTGAAAATGTGGCATTACTGACACTATTAGACGTGGGGGTGTCGATGTGCACTTATTAAGCACATATTTCTCCTACTGCACAGGTGGGGCCCTGTCTGCGACACAGAGAGGCTGGCAGACCCTGCGTCTCTATGAAAAATCATTCAGAGTCGGTTTGGTGCAATGTGAAGTATCTGGACATCTCTGATCGGTTCCAGCTCCTCTCACTATTGATGTCTCTCCCTCTAGACTAAACATTGACAATGAAAAGCAAAGGCAGTGCTTTCATAACATTTCCCACCATTGCACCATTGCTTCTCAAAATGAATTCTCAAAATTCATGGAGGCCATAAACAATCCAGAGGATCCTCTATACCATCCTAACCCAGTCAATGCACATTCCTGTTCAATGCAACAAGTTCAAGTTTGAGGTGTTCCACACATCAAAATTTCCGGAATTCAAGGGCACATAGCAAGCTGTCAATATACATCATTGTAAGGAAGGGATGGTGGTTATGTTTATTCTTTGTTATTCCTTGTTGTACCTGTGTATTTACATATGTATGGTGCGGAGTCGGGTAAAGGGTTCTTTACTCTTCTCTTCACCAACATCAAATACTAAGTTCTGTCTAACCTAGATCTTGACTGACCTGAGGACTGAAGAGGCACCAAGGTTGGCACCTACACTGACCTTACAATCATCCATGCCAACTGTCAGGAATGTCTAGAACGTGTATCTGGATGGTCTGCAAGGATGTGCAAAGTCGTCTGGGCTCATAAGGTTGGAGGGGTGGGACTTCAGCTTCAGCGACTCAGGTGGAGCACTTCACTTCATTCTTATGTTGGTGTCCCAATTTCAGACAGAAGCCTTATGACAGAGGGAAGAGGCTAGGGGGTAAATCCAAGTTGATATATGAACTGAGGTACATCCAGTGTAACCTACACATGTCATAAGCACAACTAACTAAATAGGACCAGCCCAGAAGGAGTGGCAGATCAAGCATGATATTAATGAATGAAGAAATAGACAAATGGTTAATATCGGCAAACCTTGCCAACAAAAGGAAATAAAGAAACAAGGAGTGGCAAAGGGAGAACAATAGTCTGCAAGCAAACAAAAGAGAGAAAAGGCCATCTGTCAGGGATGCATCCAGGGTAGAGGGGGTCTGGGTGTAGTGCCTGGCAGAGGGACCCTCCTGGGGTGTGAAGCAGGCATGTGTACTGGTGGGCCCAAGGTGGGACAACAGTCCCTGACCACTCAGACTGAAGTGGAAAAGGTGAATTGTTATTAAAGGGGAAAACTACACTACTTACCTGAAGTGGGAAAGGGTTTACTTCAGGTACATGTGGCTTGGGTCACATGATGGGTGCCACATCATCCTTGGAGACAGCTACAGCCACCTGGGTGTGTGGGGGATTGTGTCAGGGCACACCCGCCTGACCCGGCTCCACCCGGCCCAACCTGACCCGGTACCCCGCCGGTCCACCCCTCCTTACCTCCTCCCCCTTTCCCTTCTTCCCCCTCATCCTCCCCTCCTCAGTTTCTCCTTATCTTACTTCTCCTTTATTCTCTCTTTATTCTACACGGACGACTTTCTCTGTATCAATGTACAACTGACCCATCTGCAGCGCGCCCACCATGTACCCGGCCCAGGCACCTCGGGCGACTTCCCGCTGTGCCCAGCACGCGCGCCTGCACCGGATACCCTCGGGATCTCCCACGGAGACACCCGGGTGGTTACGGCTGTGTGCGAGGGTGACGTGGCACCCGTCATGTGATCCAAGCCGCATGTATATAAACGAACCTGAAGTGGGAACCGAAGAAGTAGCCTTCTTCTCAACTTTCCACTTCAGGTAAGTAGTACAATATTTCTCCTTTAATAATAATAACAACTTTCCACTTCAGTCTAAGTGGCCAGGGACCGCTGTCCCACATCGGGCCTGTCAGTACGCACGCCCGATCCGCCCCCTGCCAGGCTCTCGGTCCCGGACGTTATACCCGGACCCCCTCGACCCCGGACGAGTCCCTGACAGCAGAAGAAGGCTTCAACTTCATCTCCCCCGCCTCCCCTGCCTCCCCTGCCATGGTGATGGAAGAACAGTACGATGACCTCCTAGCCCGGTTCCAGGAACTGCAGGCTATTGTGGAAAACCAAGTCCTTAACCACCCCCCACCTGCTCCTGCGCCTGCACCCGCGCCTATCCCCGCACCCGCTCCCACACCTGCCCCCAGACCCAAGCCACCTAAGGTCGCCCCCCCCACGCCCTTCTCGGGAGCCAGTGAGGACCTGGACCGTTTCAAAGCCGAATGTGGAATCTACTTCCACGTCCGCGCGTCCGAGTTCCCCACCGCCCTCTCCCAGATTCTCTTCGTGTTGTCCTACATGAAGGGAGGGCCGGCAGGAGCATGGGCAACGCAACGCATGATCTCGCTGTTGACGGCAGGGTCCCCGGCACTCACCATGGACGAGTTCAACACGGAACTCGACGACATGTTCCAGGACCCAAATCGGGAAGCAACCGCCCGGCAGAAGCTGGCGGCCATCCGACAGGGGAGCGACTCCGTGGACAAGGTCATCCAGGAGTTCGAGATATTAGGGCCTGCCTCAAGACTGGGTGACGTAGGGCTGGTCGACCGCTTTGAGCAAGCGATCAACGCCCGGCTCCGCGAGAGCATTTACTGTCTCCGCCCCATGCCCACCACCTGGGCTGAATGGAAACGCGAGGCCACCCTCCTCGACAACCAGTGGCGACGTTTCCAGGCCACCCAGCCATGAGCACCCCCACCTAGACCCCCACTCCCACCAACCAGACCCCCTCTAGCCACCACCCCCCCCTACGCGCGGCCCACACCCACCACCTCGCGACCTACGCCTGCACCCGCACCCCCAACGCCCACAACCCGTCCCACGCCAGGAACAGGTCCACAGCCAATGGACCTCGACCGATCGAGGACTGACCAAAGACGGAAGGGGCTGTGCTACAATTGCAACGCCCCAGGCCATGTCGCACGAGAGTGCCCGCACCCTAAGGTCCACCGAGTCCGACGCCTGCATCCAGAGGACCTACGAGCGTTGATGGAAGGGCTGAAGAGGCAATTGGGTGAGGGACCAGAGGCAGAAGAGGGAGAGACGGGGCCAGACCCCCAGGAAGAGGATTTTCAGGAAGGCGACCGGTGAGGGATGCGCCCCGGCCGCCTGTAGAAGATAACCCGTGTAAATACCGCAACGTGCGCGAGTCAAAGCCACTGCAGAAATTCCATCGAGTTATCGCAAAGAAAAAGAGGAAAAGCGCATCCTCTACCCACAGAAGTGAGAGACGCCCAGAGCTAACACCCGAAGTAGCGGTGTCTCCACCCGCCATTTATGTCCTTTCCAAACAATCCCCCAGGTCACTCAACCTCACGGTGACGTTGACCGCCCTGACCTCTCTCGCCCCCGTATCAGTGTCAGCCCTCCTGGATTCAGGGGCCACCGGGAACTTCGTGAGCCCTGAGTTCGTCCAGAAGCACAGGCTCGAGACCACCCCGCTCCCACAGCCCATACCCGTCCGCAATGTCGATGGCACCCCGAACGAGAATGGGGCCATAACGGAAGAACTAGAAGCCCTCCTGACATTCGGACGACATACAGAACGGGCCCGCTTTGCAGTTGCAAACCTGGGACGCCAATCCCTCATCATAGGGCACTCGTGGTTGCTGCATCACAACCCAGAGGTGGACTGGGCACGACAGAAGGTCGTCATGTCCCGCTGCCCATCCTCCTGCAGGGGGTCGCGAGTGGGAGACGACCAAGACCTCACGGTAGAGCCCGGGGACGGGATCTATGCTGCGATCCTCCCCCGGGGTGGGGACATGACCTGAGAGCAACCACGACACCATCCCAGCAGATGGCCCAGGAGGCCCACGACCCGGGGGCAGAGCCCGTGCCCTTCGAGATGTTGGTACCAGAGCACTACCAAGACTTCCGGGACGTGTTCTCTAAGGAAGCCTTTGACCAGCTACCCCCCCGGAAGCCCTGGGACCACGCCATAGACCTGGTGCCAGACGCGAAGCTACCCAGAGGAAAGACCTTCCCTCTCTTGCGACCCGAGCAGAAAGAACTGGACGAGTTCTTACGGGAAAACCTGCAGAACGGGCGTATATGCCCGTCCAAATCCCCGATGGGGGCGCCAGTCTTCTTCGTCAAGAAGAAGGACGGGTCGTTGCGCTTAGTCCAAGACTATCGGAAACTGAACGAAATCACGGTCAAGAACTCGTACCCGCTCCCCCTCATCTCAGACGTTCTCGCCCGCCTTCGCAACGCCAAGTACTTTTCGGCCCTGGACCTACGTTGGGGGTTCAACAACGTCCGGATCAAAGATGGGGACGAGTGGAAGGCAGCGTTCGCGACCAACCGGGGGTTATTTGAACCCATGGTGATGTTTTTCGGCCTGTGCAACTCCCCCGCGACCTTCCAGACCATGATGAACGACATCCTTCGGGATTTCATCGACCGGGAAGTCGTCATTTGCTACATGGACGACATCCTCATCTTCACCGCGACCCTAGAGGAACACCGGAGGGTAGTACAGGAGGTCCTGGAGACGCTGCGAAGGAGGAAGCTCTTCCTGAAGCCCGAAAAATGTAAATTTGAGCGGACACGGATTGAGTACTTGGGCCTCGTCATCTCGGAGGGCAACGTGGCGATGGATCCTG